TCCAACCTGGCTCTGAGTCCATGTTAATGTTTAGCTATTCAAGCTGGCTTTGTGTATTAGTTAGAGAGAAAAGAAGAAATTCTGAGTGCTTTTGTATAATTGCTCTGCTTGCTCACAGAGTATGTGAGGAGTGTTTTTGTATATATTTATCTGTAAGAAAATGAGCTCATACGGCATGTACAAGACCGTTAGCTCTGAGCTGGATTCACACACTCATCAGTGAATCTCAGCCATCCATCATGCTAAACTAATAGATCACACAAATTACAATAAAGGCCCTACACTTGGTTTAATTACCAAAGTAAATACACAATTAACTACAAGGCATATTTATGCTAAGCTTTATTCAGCTCACATTTTATATGCTAATTAACACGGCAATCATAGAATTGTTAGGTTTGTCTAGGAAGCATTTAGTTAATTTAGTTTTCTTTTATATGATTCTCTCTCTCTCTCTCTCTCTAAACAAAAGAAGTACTTTTCTTTTTAATTATGTCAATTAATAATATTATAAAGACTGGTGCAGTTTTGCGAAACACAGGGTACACCCTTTGGGAATTTCTTAAATATTTGAATATAAAATAAAAGATATAAATAAGTTAAGGTTGTGGAGTTGCAGTGGCCGTCGATCTTGTAAGCATCCACAGTAGTTGATTCCCCAATCATTAGCGAAATGTGCCTTTTTTATAAATAAAAAATAAAAAACTAGTGGGCCACAGGAATAATGGACCAAGTCTGGTTGATAATGATAACAAAGCTAATTCCAGCTAAGCCCAACTTAGAATGTCCAATATAGCTCAACTGTAACGGCCACTTTCCAAATGTTATAACTTTATAATGGGCAACTCCAAAACTGAAGTGGGTTGTGTTGGAGCAAAACTCAACGCGTGTGATGAGATGAGAGTGATTCTTCGATATCCTAGCTAATTCACATTTTAACGTGTCATACATTAGTTTGTTTTATAGAGGCAAACATCTTGTAAGGTAATTGATTCGAACTTGGACGTAAAAGGATGGACACACTATTTCGGTCAACTGATCAGAATATATATACATACAGAAGTAGCGCTCAAGAAGAAAACAACTCAAAAAAAGGCCATACATAATTAATTCTATGTACGGATCCAATTGTGGAAGCTAGTTAAGAGTTAGGACCCCCTTGGTGAGATCAAGTAAATGGAAGAAAAGCAACAGTGTTGAGGTGGGCAGGCTCAACATGATCAAAGCTATGGTTGCCAAAGCGAAGCTCGGTCTGGTGTTCATCAACTGAGATTGCAAGAGACCCATGAGTTGGCATATAAAAGAATCGTAAGTGGTGTAATAGCGCTTCTCCCAGTCGAGCCAATCAGAAGGAGGCTCGTAGTTCCTCTCCACCATCTTCATCTCATGAACCCTCTTCCTCAGAACAATCATGTTCTCATCCACCAGCCTGCTCCTATAGAAGTTTTGCCGGTACTGCTCATGATCCGCATCTTTTCTGCTTGACGCAAACACCATTGTAGCAGACCGTGCAGCTTGCTTTCGGTGTCGATCTATGCCTGAAAATGGGTTAAACGAAACAATGGAAGAAGAAGATGACATTGCTAATTTGCTATATTGGATTTGGAAATATTGAGTTTAATGTGGTATTTGGAGGTGCTAGGCGCTTCTATTTATAGGCTTAACAATAATAATTGAGAAAGTTTGTAGATTAGGAAAAATGAAAGGTGGTGGGGGCATGCGACATGCGACATGCGACATGCGACATGCGACATGCGACATGCGGCATGTGCTGGAGAGGCATTGTACGTACAAGGCACTCTTGCCTTAATAGCTAAGAAGGAAACAACCTGGGAAAAGGGATTGTGGCTGCTAAAACCGTGTTTTTTATATATTATTTTAAGAGGCACTTGCACTTTTTTGACGCGTAAATTACGTGGGAGATTCGGAGAAGTTTAAGCCCTGTCAGTGTCGTCACAAAACACAACACTTGGGGCAGTTTTTTGGTCCGTGCCAAATTTGATCGAGTACTTGATCTGATTTGAGGGCTCTGATTCAATCGAGCCAGCCATCATAGTTTATCATGAATTAAAATGTTTAGACTGGAATGGAACGAGTCGTTACGTTTGCATAACATGCAGCCAGTTTCACAGAAGCCTTCCTTCCTCAATATAAAACATGGAATGGGAATAAATGTAAATTATTAGGGGAGGTTGTTGGAAGTATAGTCTGAAATATCGATAATATCAACGAAATATCGATGATATTTCGGAACATATCCATGTACATATCGTATAAATATCGACAATATTGACGATAATATCGGAAAATATCGATATCGATAATTTTGCTCACACTTCAGCAATATTTTGTCAAAATATCAATGTAAAGGAAAAAAAAAGGGCAAAAATGGAAGAAAAAAAAAACACAAAAGGGATTTTGAACCCCTCCCATTTTACTCCTCTAACACCTTAACCACCACATATCATTTATGTTTTAGTGATAATATGCTAAAATATTTATATTTATATGGATGACATGTTAACAATTATATGCAAAACTATTTTAGGGATTTATCATTTGATGAATACTCTTCACAATACACTTACTCTACATATAGAGATGATGAAGATAGTGAAAAATTTGAACCTTATAAGAACTCTATGTGGTACTAAGTCACTCATGTATCTTACTATACAATGTATAAAGTATAAAATAGTGTAGTAAATCATTATATATAAATGATTATGGTGTGTTTAATATTTTTTTCATTAATTACTACATATTTTCTATACTCACAGTGTTTGCCAGCTCGCTGTATAATCAACTTAAATCAGTTAAATCTATAATGTAATGCATTTCCTTTTTTTTTTTAAATAAACTAATAGATAATTGACTAAATAAACATTCTCCAAAGTTTCAATAAAAATTTCCAAGTTTTTCTTACAATTTTCATGATTTTTATTCAATTTTTATTGATATCAATAATATCCCGATATTTTCATCGAAATTTTCATGTTTTTGGACTACCGATATTTCCGACATCAGCGATATTTAGACCATAGTACTAAGTCACTCATGTATCTTACCATATAATGTATAAAGTATAAAATATTGTAGTAAATCATTATATATAAATTATTATGGTGTGTTTAATATTTTTTTTCATTAATTACTACATATTTTATACACTCACAGTGTTTACCAACTCGCTGCATAATCAACTTAAATCAATTAAATCCACCATATAATTCCTTCTTTTTTTTTTTTTGGATAAACTAATAGATAATTAACTAAATAAATATTCTCCAAAGTTTCAATAAAAAATTTCAAATTTTTCTTATAATTTTCGTGATTTTTATTCAATTTTTACCAATATCGATAATATTTCGATATTTTCATTGAAATTTTCATGTTTTTGATATTTTAGACCATGGTTGAAGGACTTTGGGAGAAGCAGCTAGCTGCGTCGCTGCTTGTGCGTGATTGGATTGACTTGGACGGCGTTTATATATTTTTATATTTGGCATTCCAAATAATAATATTAATTTTTTGAATCTTTAATAGGATGATTGCTTGCTCATGGACAGGATTAGAAAAAGAAAGGCGCAAAGGCCGGAGCAATAATACATAAAGAATTACGATCGATGGAATATTATTGCATGATTCATCTCCTCTCCTCATCCGAAAAAGGTTTGGATTATAAGGTAATTACACTCCTCTCCTGCTAATTATTATTTTTTATACAAAGGCGATAGTATTTTATTTTTTCGGCGAACAGAGTAGAGTCATTGATACGAAGGCAGATATAAGATTACACCGGAAGAACACTGTCTCTAGAGGAGGGATCTTGCAGACAAGAAAGTAGAAATAAAAGAATATAAACAACCATTACTCTTACAGGAACAATGAGCAAACTCCAGCAACCCCTCACGATCGCACAACACCAAAGGAGTGGATCCCAGCAAATCCATCAACTCCACCTCCGTGGAAAAGATCTTAGAAAAGCTACCACCAAACCCTTAAATACAATAGCACAGACAACAAAAGGGCAAATGTGGAGATCAAGCAAGATCAGTCCAAAGAGCTGGAAAACAGCCCCTAAAAGCCTAGGGGGGAAGACAAAAGCTTGCCAAAAATCAAGGGAGCAAAATCCCAGCAAAAACTGGGGGGAAACTCTCCACAACATGACGGGGGGGAGGGAAGCCCGATTTATTAGCAGAAAGGAAATGAATCCATGGGAAACCCCTGGATTCAAAAGAGAATGCAGTAGCTTTAGGAAGCTTTTCGGGTTGAAGGAGAAGAAGAAGTTTCAGAAAGCGATTGTATTTTATTACGAGGGATGAAACAACTATCAAACTATGTTCTAGAAGATTATGCGAGTTTCTCAATATAAAATTACACTCATGCTATATAGCTAAGTTTAAAATTATAAAAGAATAAAAACGAAGGTCTTCCGGTTGACCTTGTGAGTTAACTACCATACCTCCCAACCTCCTCCTCCCTTCACCGGTGATAGAGAAACAAGTCAATATTGCGAAATAAATTAAATGATTAATTAGAGAGAACCATTATATATAATATATAATTGAGAGAAAGCTTTCCATTCCATCACTTGATTTTAAGGAGTTAAGCCATGCTCTTTTAGAAGGAAAATCCTTGGCTCTTTACAATTGAGGGGAAACTCCTCTTTACAACCAATGTGATTTTTACACGTGTCAAATTATTTTAATATTATTTTTATTTTTTGTTGAAACTTTGTCAATATTGCTAGAATTTAATAAGTGGCAAAATCCCATTGATTTTAAGAAGGAGCTCCTACTTAATCTTAAAGAGCCAAGTCATGCTCATTCTAGAATCTAATTATTTGTGTTTTGCTTTTTATTTCCTCATAAAATGAAATTCATGATGTTATGGGATCAGTCACCTCCCGGTAAAGTTGGAAAAACACGTTGAAGACAAAGTAAATTACCAAAGATCAAAATGTAACAAATAATAATTAAATTTTGGACCAAAATAAATAAATAAATAATAATAATAAAATTAAAATTTGTTTATATTGCATGTGAATTGATAATATTTGTCACTAATGAGCTAATAAGATCCCCTTGAAAATGTCCAACAAAGCAGCCGTAGAAATTGGGACGCTGAGTGTAATGAGAGCAAGCATTCCCAGAGCCACGCAAGGCCTTGTGTTCATCAAATGGGTTTGCAATAACCCCACGGCTTCAAAGATGTCCGAATTGTAATTATCATAATATCGCTTCTCCCATTGCATCCAATTTGCTGGGGGTTTATGATCACCATCTTGCATCTCTGCCGCCATCTTCATGTCGTGAATTCGCATTCGAAGAACAATCATGTCTTCGTCAACAAGTTTACCATCGTAGTTATCACGACCGCATGATGCGAAAATCTTCAGAGGATGCCTCCTCCTCCTCCTCTGCATCTCAAATAACCCCGTCTTCAGGTGCGGTTGATGAATGCTGGAATTGGAACATGGCGGTGTTGGTGATGGCAGAGCTGAGTGAAGAGAAGAGATTAGCATTGTGCGAGACATAAATTATAAGCTTGCAAGCCTTCAAATGTCGGATTAAGGATGTGGTGTTGTTTTGTTTGCGAACAAGGTTCGTACATGGTACATATATATAGGGGTTGTGTTGTGTGTCCAATTGGAAGAGAGAGAGAGACCGCGTAGGAATGACATGTGGCATTTTGGCGCGTGACTTTTTTGAGTTAGATTCCTAGAACTAGAAAGGGTTTGGCACATAGCTGCCAGGAGAGTGAACCCCCAAAAGAAGTTTCTTCCTTTTGAAGTTATCTCATGATGGGGCCGGCAAATCTTATTGTTAATTAGATTTTGTAAATCTGGGGAAACAGTTGTTTTTCCGCGTGAGCAACAGCCGTTTGATTATTCAGGCATTGTTTCTCCTCTTTTCTTTGGACACATTCAGTTCAGGCACAGTTTGAATTTGAAGCAGCCCAACTCATTTTCACATTTATCGGTTATTATTAGGGCGTTTCACTAAAACACTCAAAATGGGGGTTGAAATTATAAAAAAACTCAAGCACTATTTAAACATATAAACACACCCAAAACCCATCATTACACACACTCAAAACTCATTTATAAACACACCCAAAAAGTTGACTTTGGTGTTGATTTTGGGTGTGTTTCTATGTTTAAATAGTGCTTGGGTTTTTTGATAAATACATGTCTAGGATTGAGTTTATTTATAAATTTGTATTATTATTATATCTTATGAGGGTATTTTGGTACCTCTAGAAAGACATCTTCTCAGCAAATCTTTATAAGCGACAGAGATGGATGCAAACGTGGCACTATTACAAAATTGTCCTACGCGTTTTAGGTTGCGTTGATGTGCTCTTCTTCTACAATCGGAAAAAAGAACACAACAATAATATAACAAATTATAAAAACGGGTAACCATTTTTTGGGCCCCATTCCTTCATGTATTATATACTATATGATGTATTTACATCGAAGTCAATTCTGAATTTAAATGCGGACTTGTAACAATATGCTCACCTCTTTGTACCGAAGAGTTCAATCCTTTTCCCCGTATATTAGAATAGTTTACAATAAATTTTTGTAAAAAGATTTATGATTTCAAATTTGATTAGCAATGGATACTCAAAGTAGAACTGTAAATATGAACATATTAGTATTCAAAGTGTTTATATGAGAATAAACTTCGCGCAGTCTTCGCAAACTGGACCGACCTGTGTACTATGACCAACCAACCATATAAGAAAATCATCTTCGCTCTGGTAGAGCATAACATCCATTAAACGTACATTCTACATGAGACTTTTAAGTCATGTCGCATAGAAATGGCTCATTTGGTCAGAAAAAGGCACGAGGCTTCTTTATTGCTTAACATATCTCCTTTACTTAGCACCTGTATGAAACAAATCAATAAATAGTGGCACATGTGATAACAACACTACTAATGCCCAAGTAATTACAAACCTTCTAGGACAAACTCTGGGGCTTGGTCAATTGGGGGAGATGATTCAAGTGGCTGGTTTAATTCAACTTGATTGAGTGTTACAGGTGGTTCCTTTGGCTGGTTTTGTTCATCTTGTTCAGTATTTAAAGGCTCGAGCTGCACCGCTGGTTGGATTTCGTCAAGAGGTCCGGCCTCCAGCTGCTGGTATTTCGGTTTGTTTTTCTGAAGGAGAAGGTAAGTGGTGCAATACAAAAACAACAGTATTCTACTTTGAGCAATCATTGTATCCCTAATGTGACTTCCTCCAAAGGAGATGCGTTCAAGTGCCTGCAGAAAAAGAAAGAAACAGAGTAGAAGGTATTAGATATAAAACTTCCTCGAGGACAAAATTGTCCACCTCATGAGTCAAATGCGTGTATCTTGTTTGGCCATTTCATAGGTTCTTCCAGAATTGGCTCTTGTAATTAGTTTCTTTTAAGTAGAAGGTTTAGAAATGAATAAATTAAGAAACAATCTCTTCAGAGGGGCAAAAGGAATGGTAAATTGAAAATCATATACAAAATTGGTTGGATCGTTTCTACCTCTATTTTAGGAACACGCAATGATTAGTATAACAACATTCATACGAGATATGACACTGATCACCAAATACCGACACCTAGAGCTAGATATGGTTGGAGGAAGTATTTATTTTGATTCCGTTTCTTGAAAGTTTCCCTGTACCTACCTGTTCTCCATTTTGAATATCGTAAGAATGCTGATGATCAAATTGAAGACCCCTAAACTCATTGATGCAAAGACCTTGAAAAGCCCTGAAAGTGTACAAGGAAATATACATTCGTAAGGTAATGAAAACAATTCTTAATTGTACAGTATCAACAAAATGTTTGTTTCTTACTGGCAAGCAACCTTTGATCTTACCATCTAATTAGAGAAATATGAGGAATCCAACGAAAGATAATTGGTGTATTCTCTGCATTGACATAATAGCCTCCAAATACAATAAAAACTGTCATAAGTGAGGGTCCGACTGCCATAGCTGCTTCAGTGGTTGGAACCATAGCACCAACAGTAAGACCCATAGCAGATGCAGCAAAAGATTCCACTGTCACAATACCACAAAACTTCACGAATCTGAAAGACCAAAAAAATTGCAAGTAAACCTTGTGATCTGAACCAGCCCACTTTGTGAAGAGTTAAAAATGATAAGGTTTGCAAAATGATATAATGAAGAAATGAACCAGCTATACAAGTATAAACAGACAATAGTCAATTCCATCTTCACCTTTCCCACTCCCCATATACTGATCTTTACTAAAAGGAAGAGTGCTAGAGACAAATGATTCTTTTTAAAGGTTTTTGTATCTTCCCTGCATCCCTCATATATGAGTTTTGCAAAGAAAAACCACTCCGCTTATTCAGTGTCCAGTCTAAAATTCGATATATAGACATATATCAGTTTGCACAGGTCTATTGAGGAAATTATTGCCTCTTTTATAGGGAGTTATGCAGCTCCCATATATATTGCGCTGACAAGTGTGATTATGCGGTTACCAGATCTGTTAGTGCATCTCATACAGCTATTTACACAATTCACTTTCTCCAATTGCTTCAACAAAATTAGGAGGTTTCAGAATATCAACTCATGTTAAACATTCTTAACAATGACTTCAAAAACCTGGATAAAGCAGGATGAAGACGAGCCATGGGGTACAAAATGGCGCCAAACATTAATGGAAACGCTGCTCCAACAGGAATCTCAGCCAACAACTTAGAAAGAAGATAGGGTCCTAATGTATAAGACCCTTTTGCATGCTCTCTATTTACTATTGCACGCTCCTTCGGGAACACACCCACTGTCTTTGTGAGAGCAGCCATTGCCGTGTTTATTGCAGCAACCTGAGAGAAAATATCCATAAATAGGCCAAGAAACTTAAAAACTTATATTAGAGACACTAGTATTCAATAATTATGTTTTGAATATTCAACTTATTGAAAAACTGTCTTTCTTTTGCACATAAAGGTCATATAATCAAATTTGTAGAAAGCGTCGTCATTGCATGAAATGAGGAGTATCTCTATGGGACTTGATCAGGAACTTAATAACCATACCAGAATGCTTATAGCTTGGTTTTCCAAATCACAAATTTGATAGAAAAATATAATAAGCAAGGACCTCTAAAATCAAAGTCCTTTAAAAAGAAGTATTTTCACACCTGAAGCAATCCCATTCTGTCTTGTATCGATGTCTGAGATCTTCCCATTCTCCAAAAAACTGATCCAAATATTATAGCTGATGCAATTGACATTCTTGCCCGAACTTTATTTGTTGATCCGTCACGGGAAGCCTAGTCATTTGTTCAAAGATGTTGATCAGATAGAATTAACTGGAGTTAATCTTCATAAAACAATCCAATTCATCATCCAAACCCACCTAAATATACACATATCACCCTCACTGTTGACTACTCAGATGTTACTTAAAAAGTTATGTTGATAGTTATATTGTTATAAAGCTTTGTATGACATGGGAAAAGGAAGAAGCTAAAGCAATCTTTCAATCAAAATGAATTAATATATTTTCACCATTGAAATGCATGTCTTGCACAATTTTTCAAGCTGAGTTTATCTTGTTTTCGTCAGATCAATATGCAGATGAACATAAGGCCTAAGTTATCCTTCATTCCATTTTAATGAGACTAAGTACGCAAGTAAAAGAACTTGAGACTAAGTACGCAAGTAAAAGAACTTACCTGCATCCATGCACGCCTTAGGAGCAACCGGAATTGCATCCACCAACCACCCTTCTTCTGAACTCTACTTTTCTTGCTGAACTTTGTTCTGTTGTTAAAGACTTCCCTTCTTGTAATCGGAGTTGCATACAGAACTAGTGATGATTGTTGTGAAAATGACTCAACAAGAGCATCTACTCTTTTCTGAGAAGAGTAAACACTTTCAGCAGAACTGTAGTCGATAGAAATAAGATCGGCTAAAAACTCAGCAGGGTTCTCATGAGCTGGGCAATGGTACCTGTTGAATAAATCATTGATTAGTCAATAATTTCACAGCTTGACAGCTGCAGCTTGGCACAAGTAGAGACATTGGTACAAGTTATGGTCACAGACCCGAATTTAGAAAAGTATGCAAGTGGTTCATCATGTGCAGGACCAGCATAGACAAGTGCACCCTCTGTTAGCAACACGATGTCATCAAATTTACTGTACACAGATCCTCTAGGCTGATGTATGGAGCAAATTACAGTATGTCCATCCTGTGCAAGCTGTCGAAGGGTTTCCATTACTTTCTCTGCCTGGAAAGCATCAAGCCCTAGAAGAATCACAGGTATATATTAGATAAACAAAAGGTGTTAGAAAAAAAACAAATGCCTGCTACAATAGTCATCCACCAGTACATATTAGATGCAGGGGATTGCTTACCAGTAGTGGGTTCGTCAGCAAATATAACAGAGGGGCTTGCAATCAGCTCGCATGCCAGAGACAAACGTTTCTTTTCACCCCCACTAACTCCTCGGACTTTCACATCACCAACATTCGTATCAGCACAACTGACCTTTTGCAGCAAAGAAAACAAAGCAGCAACCCCAAAATTAAAAACGAACTAAATAAGCTCATAATCACAATCCTATCATTTTCCAAAAGTATGACTTCTTCACAAATTATCAATTACCAACTCAGTAGATGAAACAACACTGAACTTCATCAATGCCATTAACCAATCTTACCAATCCCAATTTGAACAACAGACTGTTCACATACTCGAGTCTCGCTTCTGCGGAAGATATCTCCGGAAGCTGCAGCTCGGCAGCAAGAGACAACGTCTCTCGCACCGTCAGCTGCGAGAAAAACAGGTCCTCCTGTCTCACATAAGCAAACCTTAACCCCCCAAAAGAAAAAATTAAACAAATGAGAACCATAGAATAAGCAGAAATTCTAAATGAACCATAGAATAAGCTCTGAAACATAAACGAAAAGCTTACTTATAGGCTTTGTTAGGACTAGAAGTTCCATTGACCTCCAATAGACCTGATAAATGTAACCGAGGTGACGCAGTTAGCTGACCCGCAAGTACATTTAGCAGCGTCGTCTTTCCTGACCCTGACGGCCCCATAATCGCTAACAGTCTCCCCGGTTTCGCTTCCCCGCTAACGTTCTTAAGCAGAAACCGTATCTAAGCATTCAAAATTAAGTTAATTAAACATTTGATCCTGAAAATTTTCTCTGAAACCAAACGTACGTTACGAGAAATTTCGTTTGAAAATTGAACAAATGAAAACTTACTGATGTTGAGGACTTGTCAGAGAGAGAGCAGTTGATGTTGCGCCACCGGATTGTAACCGGAACCAATTTCCCGGAAATCGGAGTGTCGCCTTTGTCGTCTGTTGCGTCATTATCATCGTCGCTGGCCTCGGTTTCCGGCGAGAGCGCTGGGCCTGGGCCGGATAAGAGCCGGAGCAAAAGCGCTGCGGCCACGGCAGCTAGAGCCTGGCCCAGGCCGCTGCCTCCGAAGCCCAACACCATCTGGCCAACTTTCTTCCCGCCTAATTGAACCATTTCAGCGATAACCACTTAACTTCTCCTTTTCTTTTGCCACAGTCGGAGAGCTTGAGGCCTGACTGCTGAGCTCCGAGCCAGCTTACACTAAAGAGATAATTCGGAGTAAGTATGTAGCGACGCCGTTTCAGAGAGTAAGTTTCGCATGAGCGACACGTGTCCCTTTTGAGGATAAGAGGGATTTGCTCTCGTATAGGCGGCCCACCATAGCCCAACCGGTCAAATGGGCTTTTTTTTCACTACTGGTCTATAAAAGGCTCGGGTTCGCTCTCTTAAATCCGATCCAAACCCATCCGAATCGGGTTGGTGCGAATCGAAACAGATATATGATATATCAGTCCTCTCAGTAAAGACATCCCGCTGTCGTTGAGACCATGTCGTCATCCGTCTTCTCCTTCGCCCGACCGCTTTGATTCCTCTGAGCTAAAAGCTATATACGCTCAGATCATCTTGCCATGTTAGCAAGGCGTGGACCCCACCTGCGTCGTTCCGTCTTCGCTTGAGCCTCCTGAACATTCTCGAAACCATGGCGAATAACTCCAAGGAAGAGCCCAAGACCGGTCCTCAGCCCGATCTCTGGTACAACCTAACCCTTGGTCCTTCCTTCAAAGACGACTCATCCAACAAGTACTGCACTCTGCGATGTAAGTTTCATCCCTAACGTCCTGTTTGGTTGCATAAAAAATCTCCCTAATTTTCTTTTCGATTTTGAAATTGATCGCAGACGAATTTAAACCAGCGTCGATTGACAAGACGAAGCCGGGGACGCTCAAGAAAACGAAGGAAAATAGGGTTACGGTGGAATTTCAAAACAACCAATTGGGGAAACCGAATGTGACCTTCAAGGGAAGCAGCGAGGACTACAAGGACAACGACGCCGTATTGTTCTTCGACGGCCAGACGTTTCGGTTGGAGAGGCTTCACCGGGCCGTGAAGCAGCTCCGGCATGATCGTCAGCCCGGTGAATCGGCGGCTGGTGCCGCTCAATCGGGGTCCGCCGTGGAGCCGCAGCTGTCTCCGGTCAGCAAGGGCCCCAAGCCAATACATCATCCCGGTAGAACTGCATTCCCTGCTGTACAGGTGAGTTTCTGTTAATAGAAATTATGATGATTCAATATTGGCCCTTGGGGAGTTTTAATTCAGTTCTGTAATGTAAAGCTATTGAACAACTTAAATCTATTTAAAGCAACTGAAATTTAAAACTCTGGTTTCTTTTCTCTTTCCTCATGATGTTTAAAGCTTTTGCCTTGTGTGAATACAGGTTGAGGTGGAACGAATAGATGTTGGAATACCTGGGAATCCAGGTTTGTTTATATGTTTCTTTGTTTTGTTGTTGTTTTTGAAGTAAGCATATCCATTGAATCTTTTGCTTCTCAAAGTTTCTGTTTTCTTGATCTCTTAAGAGGATTGGAGTCGAATTGGATTCATTAGTAGACATTGCTTGTTTTTTAGTTGCAATGCACTGCATGAAGCTCTATGTGCTAGTGAGAACAGTATGGTGTATCTTGGGGTAATTAGTAATTACATTCTCTGATGATACATTGATCAAGATTTGCTATTGTACTGAATTTGCTCCGACAAAACCGAATTCTAACATTTTTGTATAATGAAACTGACTTGGAAGATTTTAAATGCATAAGCTCTGAAACCATTTGAAAGTGTCAGTTTAACTGTGAAGTGGTTTAAAGTGCAAGTGTGTGATCCTTGGTCAAATTGAAACCACATTTTGAAGTTATTGTTGAACTGTCTTTTTCTGCGACTGAATTAATTCTTTCCTAGCGGAGAAGGAGTCCATTTTGCCTGATTCTGGGCGTACCTTCCTGTCAAATATTTTCTTCGGAAATGATCTGTCGTTTGCATCTTATAGACCATGGTGCCTGCTTCATCACCCAGTTGCAATACCTTATGCTACATGTTTGTGACAATTGAACCCAATTCAAATTCAATGGGACCCCAATGGTCTATCTTATCTGTTACTTATTATGTGATTACTAAATTTGTACTATGGCAACCCCCATCTAAATGTTAAGAACTTGCAAGAGCTGTTCATGGGCCTAGTTATTTCTCAAAATCATGAATGACTTCAGAAGTATTAAGTAGGTAGTTTGTTGTGGACTCTAGGAAGCAGTTGAGTAGCGGGATTCATGTTCATGCAAGGACCAGTGGCCACTTGTCTACCTTGCTACTTTGTTGTGCTAACTTGACCTTCCTCTCGACATTTTGAAGTCTATTGGAAACAATTAAGGATAAGATTTCCATCTTGCAGATGGCTTTATTCCTCTATGCACTGTCTTGCCCAAATACTAATGCTTTTTTCCTCTATGCTTGACCGGTTATCATATATCCTAATGCTTTATTTGTTATACAAACAGGTGCAAAAAGTGCCAATAAAGGTGTGGCTGATTACTCGTCTGATCAACTGAATGTCGCTGCTGCCTCGCCAGACCCGAAGAATGAGGAGGTCGAGGAACATCAAGATATAGATATTGAAGAACTTTTTGGCAGTGTATCGCCTGAAAATGGGAATGCCGCGGAAGATGGAGCTAATGCTGGGTTTGATATCAGTATGCGAAATCAAAATGAAAGTGATAATGAGATTGCTGATGTGGATGATAGTGGTGATGAAGTTGATAAGGGGCCAAATGCCGCAGAAGCCCTTCGAGCCCAGGTGAACGCAGAGGGGAGGGAAAAGCAGACTTCTACTTCTGGTAGTAGCAGTGGAAGTGGGAGCAGCAGCAGTGGAAGTGGCAGTGGTAGCAGCAGCAGCAGCAGCGATAATGAAGGCAGTGATGATGATTCAGTCAACTCCATCTGAGAAATCGAGCAACTTTGATCTTCCACGTAGGTTGTCCAAGACAGTCCAGCGGATGTTTACAGTGGTAAACCGAGGCCTGAAGAAGAAAAGAAGTTAATATATACACCCTATTATTTATACAACCTATTATTTTGTGCGATCGAGATTGATGCCACTTAAATTTGTTATAAGCTTGCCCTTTTTGCGTCATAACGTTTCACTTGAAAATTTTGACAATAAAAAGAAGGCCAAAAGTCACTTTTGGTCTCTGTAGTTTGGCACTTCAATCACTTTTGACCCTATAGTCTCAATTTCGTCAATTTTGCCATTGTAGTTTGTTATTTGTAGCAATTCAAGGACATGTTAGTATTCTTGTCAATTTCTTTAATAATACAAGGGGTAATTTTGTCAATCCAAAACCCTTGAGCATAAAAGCTCATTTGAAATTCTTCCTATTTCATATTAGGGCTTGAAATTCAACTATTAATCCCAATTTTTGAAGAACCCTAAACTCAAATGACCAATTTCAAGCCATAATATGAAATTAGGGAATTTTTAGACGAGCTTTTATGCTCAAGGATTTTGGGTTAATGAAATTGTCTCTTGCACCATCAAAGACATTGACAAGTGTAGGGGCTTTTTCGTTCCGGCAGATACTGCAGGCCTGGGATGCTGTAAAGAGCCAAATGTGTGAAAATTGCTTTTGAGTCTGAGTTCAAGAATCATACCCCAAGAATGCTTCGAAAGGGTAGCTGAGTCTTAAGAAGCACATTGGTTACCTTCACCAACAAAACTAACAATCGCTTACAAATAAATACTTAGCTTAGTATGAGAGGCTTGTGGCATAGAAGCAAAACACTCATGAGTTTAGCATTAAAGAAAGAGAGAGTTGTGAGTTCCTATAAGAAACATGGGTTCTAATGAAAGGGGGAAGGGATTCTAAGAGAGTTTGTTGAAGAGATAGGGTGTATGGGTCTTTTTATTCCAGCAGCCTGATGAATGGGTTTGGACTGCCGAAAAGAGAAACAGGCGAAATTACACCCGTGTCTGAGTTCAAAGATCAGACCCCAAGAATGTTTCGAAAGAATAGTGAAGCCTTAGGAAACACACTGGTTACCTTTTTTTTTCAATAAAAAAACACCTTGGTTACTTCACCAACAAGAACAATGGCTGCTTATAGGTAGATTCTTAGGTTGACATGAGAAACTTGTGGCATGGGAACAAAACTATCATGAGTTTAGCATAACCAGAGAGAGCTGTGAGTTCTTATGAAAGACAGGGGTTCTAAGGAAAGGGGGAATGGATTCTAAGAGGGTTTTTTTTTAAGAGGGAGAGAGATGTGGGTATAATAGGTGTGTTGAGTAGTTTCCGACAGCTTGATGAAAAATCTGTCAAGCTCAGGAATGTTTTAACATCAGAGAAAAATGGAGGCGATTGAGGAATAGAGCTCGAAATTGCAAAGGTTTCAGGGAGGATAGATGTAGCTTGCTCTCTGAATGTGTGTGTTGGTTGTTGGGTATGAGGTGCCTCATTTATAGCCATTTGAAGCTCCTCCTTTCCAAAAAACCCTAATGGTTTCTATCCAATTTGGCCAAGTTTTTCCCTTCCTTTTTCTTCTCTTCCTTTGACTCATCATATTTGGTGAAATTCTCTCTGCTCAATTGCACAAAAACAGGATTTGGGGAGCTCTAGGCTTTTCCCGCAACTATTCCAGTGGGGAACTCCCATTTTCAGCCATCTTTCTTCCTTCTTTTCTCCCATCTTCCATGGCTAGATCTGATGGGGGGAAAGAAATGGGTATGTACGCTGATTTGAAGGGTGCCCCTCCTCCTAGCAACCTATGCACGCTATTATCCTTTGGATCTTTCAATGTTCTTCTTTGAAGTTTGCTATGCCCATGTGCTAGAGCCTCTCAGCAGCTTACAGACATAGACATTTTTGGCTTTTCATCTTGGTTCATGTTTCCAGCTAAGTGCTGGAGACTATAGATATTTTTCTTGGCTTGCTTGGGCCTTGCTAAAGTGATGAGTTAGCCCATTAAGGACATGGGCTAATTTTCTAGGGTATTTAGGTTTTTTCCTCTTTTTTATGCTTACCCACATATTTGGGCTCAAGAAATGGGCTTGAGTTTTGGGGTTTCCAAGCAGCCCAAAATTTTCATTTCTCGGCTCATCAATGGACTTCATGAAAGCTTGTTACCATCCATACCACAACCCACTCAAACAAGCCCCAATCATTTGCGTGGCTTGGGGCCGCTTAAGCTTGTAGCGTGGCTAGGTGTGA